GTGTGTGGGGAGGAGGAGGAGGGGGGGGGTCTGCCATGAGGAAGTTTGGCTTAAAGACACGTCCCAGGGGGTGTTTCTGGTCCCCACCTGTCGTTTTGCTCCTCAGCATGGCTTCCTAAAAACACTGCTGAATTTCTCAAACATGCATGAATGAGTCAAAGCAAGGCTTTGGGCATGTTTTTTTATGAGAGTATAACATTATAACATGATATAAAACTCAAAAAAGTTGATTTTACATGATATTGCCCCTTTAAGTACATCTGTAAAGCTCCAACTTAGGGGGGGGGGCTGAATCATATCCAACTTCACGCAGTCAAATTCAGTCTAGATTAATGCAGATTCAATGTAATTACAAACAGTCCAGTTTATGATTAGATTCAGTATATCACAAAATACCCATTAGGAAAAAGTTTTGAATCTAAAATTAAAACAACATATTGTGTTGAAACTTCATTTAGATGCAAACCCCCATCCTGAACAAGTGCTGGCGACAGTGGAGAGGAATGACTCATTTTTTAACAGAAACAGGCTTGGGATGGGCGGCCATCCACTTCGACTGGCTGTAAACAAGGAATCTAGAGCCCGTGTAGTAATAAAATAATTATTCTGCTCATGTTTTTGGCTGAACCTGCCAACGAATCATGATGTGATGGAAATGAGAAAAAATTCAAAAAGAAACAAATTGCTATGGAGAGATGGAGAGGAAGAACAAACAGAATGACTGTGGAGCGCTCAAACACATTACTCAGCTCAGTCATGGAGGAGCAAAGAGAGCCAAGGGCCTGTCCACCTCGTGAGTTACGACCTACCCTTGTTCTGCCCGTGTCACATGRTTCTCTGCTGTCTATGTCTTCATGGGGTCAAATAACAGAAGCAGGAAGAGAAGGAACTTTTATCTCCTCCTGTGCTCTCTACCCCACCCATCCTCTCCCTCCGCCGGTCAGAGCCCCCTCAGCTCATAAAACACTGCTTTGTTATGGGAGTGTACAGTGTGTGCTTAACGGTGGAGTTATGTGTTTAATGTACTTGATTTGTGCAGGTGTGCATGCTTTCTTCTGCGTGTGGGCACAGGAGGAGATGCTTCTTGTGTGAAATTTAAGTAGGCTGCGTTAGAGCAGCTGAAGTGWGCGTACAACACGTTTATTTTCATGGCCTACACACACACATCAACCCACTGTCTTATTTAAGAAATTAAAGCCATTTGGCAAAAATCTTTTGCAGGCCTCGCTGAGGGAAAGTAACTTAAAATAGAATCAATTTAGATTTAATTTTTGCCAATTTTTACTTCTTTTAGACATCAGTTGTCTCTCAAYGGGGAATCCCCTACAACATGCTACTAGCTAACCTCATGATACTTGAAAAATGTAATGCCATTCCTAAATGTGCGCGCACATTTGCCCCCCTTAAAAACACATTACCTTACCCTCCAAAGGCCCGATGCACAGAGTGAGGAGACAGATCATCTCAGGTAATTCCATTTTACCCCTTAGGATTTTCCAATATGTGTGCTCACAGGCGTTTAATTTATGGCTACTGCTCCTTCGCACCACAGTCATGTAAGAAAAAAATTTTAAAAGCCCCAGAATCTTTCGAGTAGTCCTGCCACGTGCTTCTCTGCCATTTCTCTCCTCGGCCATTTTTCTGTTTTTTTTTTTCTTTTTTTAGTTAATTTATTTTTTTCGGCGACCCATGAGTTTTTTAATGCTCCTGGGTCAAACACTGTTAAGACTGTGAGGAGTGCAGAGAGCTGTTTTAAAGACAGAAACATTGTCTGGCCTGTAAGAACGCTCTGTTAAGCCCTCTGCTGCACGATTTAGCCTGAGGAGAGTCGAGCTATTGTATCAACAAAAATTCTGTTTTGCCAAATTGTTCTGACCAATATTTAAATCGCCCACTTCCCAGACTTACRAGCTCTAATTGTTCATTAACCTGTTGTGGCTTCTGGCCAAGCAAAGAAAAATTTCATTTATTTAATAGTTGGATTTTATTATTTGTTCTCGCTTTATTTTTTTTAATTTGTTTTGGTATTTAACACGAAAATGGCCAAGTTTGATCATTTCAAGGCAGCATAGTTTGAACTGAAAAAAGTATTTATTTCATGGGAAGAAAAACATTTCTGTCTTTAAAAAATGTTAATTAAAAACAGTAAGCAAAAACCTGTAAATGCAGGAATTCCTATGAAACATCTGGCATTTGGGATTTAGTGACACTGTGTGGTTGCAGACGACAGAAGCGTCCACCATATAGGAAAAAGGACATTGGCGACGAAAAATGAGACCACTTGTGTTGTTTGGGCTGCTGTAGAAAGTTGACAGTCGAACATGATGTTAAAAGAGCCTGGACATAAAGGACTCAGTTACAGAGCTTTTGTGCACCAAATCGATGGAAAAAAACGAGTTGCACCCCTCTGTTTACAACACTGAACAGCTACTCAGAAGACCAATTTAACAAGGCACATAAAATACAGTAATTGGGTTTGTTACAGCACAAGAGATACCATCGTTGAGATGTTTCCAGATCGTCAGTTGTTGACTTGATGTATAAAGCATCAATATAACAATGTTAAAAATGTTATATTGTTTGATTTTTGCTAAAAAGGTTTTTCCTAGCAAGTTGAACCGAAGGCAACTGGACATATTTGTTGCTTTTTGATGACGCTCCTCAGTTACGTTTTGCTTATCATTGAGGTGGATGATGAGCGAACAGATCTACAGAGAAGACCACTTTTCTCTGATTCTACTTGCTAAAAAAATACCGTGTCCTGGATGATGGATAACACGCACTAGCAGAATCCTACTTTAGTTGCACATGGCATCAAAAATAGATTTAGAAATGTTCTTGCTCAGCACCTTGGGCTCAGCATTTTTCATCTAGGACATATTTTAGTGAAGACTATAAAACATTGAAAATAACAAAAAACATTTTTTTTTCTTGAGAGAAAGGTTGCAAATTTAATAAAAGTCGCTCTTTCTTTTTCATTAATTCTTTAGAGTAAGTTTCTTACCATCAAGAATTCTACAAATTTAGTGTCCAGATTGTCTATTTCTCTTCCTTCATGCTGGCAGCCCATTGTTCACACTTTAAGGGGTTTCTGGAGCTTTTTGAACTTTCCAACTTGGGGGGTGTGACGTATTTTCCTGGCACATACAGTACTTCAATTCTATACTACAATCAACTATGTTATCAGTTGTTATGAAAAAGCTGTATAAAATAAAATAAATTTGAATTTACAAATTTAAACACATCTGTCTCTTTGAGAACCTCCTACCATTTCGGACACTCCCACTTCAGCACATTTTTAAAGGGATCCACGATTAGTTGTAACAGTAGACTTTATTTGCTAAACATATATTTTAACTGTAAAATAAAGACTGTAAAAATCCTGTTCAGTTTTGTAAATTTTTAAACACATACGGAGCCATTTTATTTACACACAAAGCATTCTGGGTAAATGATGAAATTGCCAAATCCTCGGTGCGAGGCTGTTAGCGAGCTATATCCACCCTGTAGGTTAATCTTGGACAATATCTGACGATTGGCTTTTTTAAATGAAACC